GTTGCTATCAAAGCCTCCATTTTCACTCTCTTTCCTAGATGATTCCTCCATGGTCTTTCTCGCTCCAGCCACATTAGCTTTCTGTTGGTCTTTTACATTTATCTCAACGCCTCCTGCCTCAAGGCCTCTGCACATACTCTTCCCATCCTCCTGATTAACAGCCAACATATCAATAGCCTACATAGCTTTCAGATCATGGCTCCATCTCACGTTTACAGCAAAACCTAATACCCCCTCCCTAGTGCTGTGCTTTAGAGCACTTTCCACAGTGACAAGTTTGCATTTTTGTTCTTTTGATTACTGACTGTTTCTCCCAAACCTTTTAAGATCTGCATGGCCTGAGACTCACCCAATACACAGCACAGTGCCAGACACAGAGTAGACACTTAATCAATATTAGTTCAATGACTGAATAACAGAAAGAAGCTACTCTGCTGGGTCCTGGACTTACAAAGATGAGTATGGCATTGAACTTCCCAGGAAGCAGCTCATAGATTGTGGGTGGGAAGAGACAAGCAGATGAGAGGATGAGGAAACAGATCCGGGGTGTACCAGGGCGACGAGCACATAGCAGAGGAGCAGGCCAGAGGACACGATGATGCCTGGGTCCAGCGCACCACCCTCAGATGGAGCTCAGTCCCGGTGTCTGTGACTGATCTCTCAGCACTGTATCCCAGTCATGGCGATGCTTCCACTGCCACAGATTCTGCAGGGGCACTGTCCCCGGGAACTGGGTACACTTTGAACCTGTTCAGAATGCAGGGATATTAAAGGCTCTGGTTACAATAATAGCATTGTGTAGAGTGTTTCAGTCAAAAGAGCTCCTGGTGCCTTCCGGACAGTGATCTCATCATGTCCTCAGACCAACCCCGGGAGGCAGCAAACGGTAAAGATTTGTCTTCCCACTGTACAGCCGGGGAGACTGAGGTCAATGGAGAGCACTTGACTTGGCCAAGGATTGAGAACAGCTCAGGAACAGCACTTGGCAAGAACCCAAGGACCTCTCCACAGGGTCCACCAGCCAGACCAATTGGCAGAGGCCTGCTCGGGCCAAGGATGTGCTGCAGCAAAAGCCTCGGGCTTGTTTTCTCTGGTGCAGAAGCTTATGTCATCACCCCTTGGAACTGCAGAATGTTAAAGCAAAGGGGCCCTCAGAGATCATCTGACTCAACACCCTTGTTCTGTGAAGGAGGAAACTGATGGATTTCCTTTCCCTTTCCCTTCCTTTCCTTTCCCTTCCCTGCTGTTATTGAGTGGTAGGGTAGAGATTGTTAGATGTCTGCTTAAACCCCATCTCCTCTTCTTTGCTTATACGGCTAGCCTGTATTTCTCAGATGCCTTTATAGTTGGGCGAGCCATGTGACCATGTTCTCTCCAGTGGGATGTAAGAGGAAGCAAAACATGCCACTTTCAGGCCTAGCCCACCAAAACCTCCCAGGCTCACATCTCCGTGTTCTTTTCACCTCTGGCTGATGGAGATGTCAATTCCAAGGGCAACTTTGGAAGCCTTCCGTACATTAAAGAATGGCAGAGCTGCCAGAGTGTGGATCCCTAAAAGACTGTGTAAAGAGTCACCCCACGGGACTAAACCTCAGTGCCCAAGGCTGTTAAGGGAACAAGAAGAATATAACATCGATCATGGAAAGCTGCTGCCTTTGGGGGGGGGGGGCTATTTGTCACTGCAGCGCCGCCTAAACCTCGTCTAATTAACGAGAGTAGAAAAAGGAAAAGCTCTGACTACATACAGCACTGGGTAGTGGAGACACTGGACTCGTGGCTGGTTTCACTGTCAAACACTTTTGGAATATTCCCACACCCCCTCTGGAGAGGTTAGGAATGCCTGACTCCTAACTCAGTCTAGAAATTGGGTCTGAGGTTGTGTCCCTCCTGTTTCATTCTACATTAATGAACTCCCAGAGCTGGAATGGATCTGAAATAGCATCTGATTTATCCCCCCTGGCTCCAGATAGGGCCTCTTCTAAACCATCTGAAATGACCATCAAAATTCTTGTCTGGATATTTGTATCTCTGGGAAGTAAACACTACAAATGTCCTTGAGCCTTAAGCTCCTGTTTCACACTAGTATATTCTTGCTGCTGTGTTAAGTCTTTATTGAACCCTAAAACAAGGGAACTGGAGCACTCCCTTGCAATTATCTAGGACAGGGGTGGGGAACCTTTTTTCTGCCAAGGGCTATTTGGATATTTATAACATCATTTCATGGGCCTTACAAAATTACCAACTTAAAAATTAGCCTGCTCTCTATGGTCAAACATTTAATTAACTCACCCTCAATGCCTTGGCAGGGCCAGACCAAATGATTTCATGGGCCTTATGCGGCCCTTGGGCCAGACATACCCCATCCCTGAACTAAGAGGTCGATTTTTTGTTTTACAGATGAGGAAACTGAGGCCCAGATCACAGTTAAAACAGTGGCAAAATTAGGACAAGAAGCACGGGCTCTGAGACCAAGTTGACTATTCTTTCCAAAGTTCTATCCACTTCCAACTTGCTCTTGCTGTTTCCTCTTGTTCTGTCCTAGGAGGAGATTAAAAAATGCAGAGGTTTATCTTCACTGTGACCCATCTTTCCAAACCCTACTCAGCTGGCCCGGCCGGCATGGCTAAGTGGTTGAGTGTCGACCTATGATCCGGGAGGTCAAGGTTCCATTCCCAGTAAGGGCATATGCCTGGGTTGCGGTCTTGATCCCCAGTGTGGGGCGTGCAGGAGGCAGCCAACCAATGATTCTCTCTCATCATTGATGTTTCTATCTCTCTCTCCCTCTTCCTTCCTCTCTGAAATCAATAAAAAATATATCTTATAAAACAAAAAACCCTACTCAGCTGACCTGAACTTGGTCATGGCTCTTAGAAGATAGAGAGAAGATCAGAGAAGGGTGAATCCGCGGTGCCTACCGGGAAGGCACATGTGGCAGGTGCACAACTGCGCCTCGGGCCTTGGTAATGAAGGCAGAGTCTCTAATGAGATCTCTGAATCCACACGAGAAGCCCATGAGGACCACTAACTCTTGACCATTACTAGTTGCCTGGGGTGATAACTTGTGCTGTGTGAAATGTGCTCTGAGGAAGGAAGGGCCAAACCACAGTGGCCAAACCTCTAAGCACAGTGTCTTGGCCTGTTGAGGCTTGTCTGTCTGTGTCTGAGCAGCTGGGCAGTCCCGCTGTGAGTATGAGAGGGGGATCCTGAGAAGCTGAGCTGGGGCCATGAGAGCAAACCAAGTGACTTTCAGAGGGATTGTGGTATGGCACTTCCTTGGAAAGACCCGGGAATTCCACATGAGGGCCTTGGAAAAGTTGGGTTTCTGTGGTTCTTCAAGATCAAAACAAAATCAAACCTTATTGTTTCTCCTCGCTCCCCTCTTTAAGGTGAGCCTGTTTATACAGAGCATCCTCCTGTGTTTTGCCCAGGGACTTACTTGGACTGAATCACCAGAAAGTGGGCCCAGGTCCTTCGGCAGCTGCCCGGGACACCCTGAGCTGCCCGTTCCCTGGGAGGTGGGTTACAGAGCTCTGGATGTCAACAGAGAAGGCAGAGGGATGGTGGCAAGACAGGCCTGGAAAGGAAGTCCAAACTCAGTGTTTCCTGAGCATCTGGTGCTCAAACAGGGGCCCCCAATGGAACTGAAGAGATTCCCAAGGAGCTCCAGTTTTCATTTCCGTGGAGACATTGTCTGAATTATTGCAAACTCTGAATAACAGGAAGGGACCAGAATTAACGGTGCCATGTGACCATGCACCTTCGGGTCTAGCTTCAGAACCTTGAGCAAGTTTTTTTCCGTTTCGGCCTTTCTTTCTTTACCTAGAAATGAAGAGGCTTGCAGCCCCACCTTTAGACATTTCATCGTTTATTTACTGGAGAGGGAGGGGACATGGACACATAAAGGATTTGATTTATCGGAACATCTGTTTACACCAAATCTTGGAATCTCTCCCCTGAAGGTTGCCATCTGACAATTCAGTGATTTCCGTGCGTCTTTTTTTGTTGTTGTTGCGTTTGCAATCTGTAGCCCTTTTCCTGACGAAGTTTGTCCTAGCAGGGCCTGAATTCACAGTTTTCTTTTCCCTGCCGCCTGCTTGGGTGTCCTGGTGGGGACATTTCTGCAGAACTCTGGTGCGAGCCAAAGGCAGTGGCCGACAAGGATGGAGTCCAGGCTCGGGAGGGCGCGGTGAGGATGACTCCCCGCATTGGCCTCAGGGTTGGGCGTTAGGCTTGGCAGCAGAGGACCAGCACCAGCCCTGGGGCTGGGAGAGGAGGGGACACACACTTCAAATGAGCATGGGGCTGCGACTCCCCATGGGGGATCAGGGGCAGGATCCCACTTCTCTACCTTATCCAAGCACTTAGTAGGAAAGTCTAGTTCCTGCGAGAATTTCATCACCCAGGAAAGACCTGCTTTTCACTGTGTGCCATGAAGGGGTTGGGAAATTCTGGTTCCTGGTTCTGAAGATTGGGTGTTTTTGTGTGTGTGTGTGTGTGTGTGTGTGTGTGTGTGTTTCAAATACAAAGCAACGCTAGTGTGAGATTTTTTTTTCAATTGCAAAGCAACGCTAGTCAGTGTTTTTTTTTTTTTTTTTTTTTTAAATGCAAAGCAACGTGTATGTGTGCGTGTGTGCGTGTGTGTCAGAGGCCAGAGTTGACGGGCTCTGTGGCTGTCCCCGCGTGGTCCCGCCGCCCCCCCCCCCCCGCCCCCTTCCTGCCCGCTCCCCGCCCCGGCCGGGCCGCGCGGCGGGTGATGTCAGCGGCGGAGGAGCCGCCCGCCCGGCTCATTAGCATGGACGGCGCCGGGGCCGCCTCCCTCCGCCCGCCCGGCCCCCGGCCCCGGCCCCCCCGCGGCTCCCACAACTTTTGAGGCGGAGACTGCGCGCTCGCAGCCTCACTTCGCCGACTTCCCCGGCGGCCCGCCCGGCACCCGCCGCCGCTGCTGCCCGCGCCCCGCGCCCGCCCCGCGCGCCGGGCATGTGAGCGCGGCCGCCGCCTCCATGGCCCCGCCGCGCGCCCCGCGGGGGCCGCCGCCGCTCCCGCTGCTGCTGCTGCTGCTGCTGCCCGCCGCCCCCGGGGCGCGGGGCCAGCCGTCCCCCCCGGCCCGCCGGCCGCCCGAGCCCGGCCCCGGGCGCGAGCCGCTGCCGCCGGCGCCGCCGCCCACCGCGCCCCCCGGACCCCGCCGGGCGGCCCCCGCGCCGGACGCCGCCGCCCCCCGAGGCGGGAGCGCGGGTGAGTGAGAGCCGGAGCCCGCGCCCCGGAGCCCTTGCTGGGGGCGTGGGCGCGCCCCGCTCCGCACCCCCAGCCCCGGGCCCCCGCGCGCCCGGGTGGGGGCCCCCCGCGCACCGGTGCGGACGGTGCGGACGCGGGAGCCCGAGGGCGGGCTGGGTGGGGGGAGGCACGGGCGGGTGGAGTGGATTTCCTAGACCGTCTCGCTGGTGGCTGGGCTGGGGGGTGTGACCATCCTGTTTTCCCTCCAGCCCTTGGAAGGAAACTTATCTCCCAGGATGGACCCCGGGGGCCCCCCAACCCCACAGACACAACCCACCCCCATTAAAAAGAAAGAAAAGGGGAACCCCCCCCCCCCAAACCTTCCCGAGCGCCGCTGCTACCACCTCTCTGAGGGGTGACCTCCGGCCTGTCCAGTCCCCAATTCAATTCTTTTCCTCTAAGAGAAAGAAGTGGCCTCTTTCAGGCACAGAGCCTGACTTTCGGATATAAATAACTAATTTTTAAAGAACTCCGGTCCTTGGGATAGTGTAAAGGACAAAGGATGTAACTGGAAACAAAACACTCCACTGGTTCACTCTAAAAGTTGAAGGACTGGGGGAGTGGGGGAGGGGGGGGAAGCCAAGGGTGGGGTGGGGGGTTGCAAGGTCGTACCCCTGCAAGGCAAATGCTAACAAGGGGACTGTCCCTGGGCCTTTTCCTCAGCTTTCTCTACATGCACAGCCCCTGTCCGACCTGCCCCCGAGGACCTGCCCACCCCCCCTCCTGTCCCTTTCACCCAGTTCCTTCCTCAGGTCTGGGAGAAATGCTAAAGACGCAGGGAAACTCCAGCCACAATACCACGGTGACCTTGGGGATGCCACCTCTTTGGATCTGTGTCTCCATCTGTGATAGGGAGGCAGTGATCCCTGTTCCTCCCGGCCTCCTAGTGATGATGTGACAAAATGAAAGTAAAAATAATGGAAAGTGCTTTGAACCAAGTCAGCACTGTGGTTGGCGGTGGGAGCCAGTGCCTTCCTGTGAGTGACACAGGCTGGAGCTCTCCCAGGGTTACCCTGGCCAAGCAAGGCTGCTTCTCACACCAGATGCCATGTGGAGTTTAGGTGAAGGCTGAGAAGATTTTATCTCCCTAGTTGGCACTTCACTGACACAAACTTTGTGGTAGAGGATTAGCTTCCTCTAATTAAATAAGGGGGGGAGGAAAGTATTAAAAAAAAAAAAAAAAGAAATCTGATCCTCCAGAAAAAACTCAACTCCATGTTCCGTAGTACTCCCGTCATTGCCAAATGCCTTGCCTTTGAATTTCTAAGTCGCTGGCACAAGGTGGAGAAACTGAGGCACAGTCAGGGCCCGGAGAGGATACAGAAAGCCCAGCTGGAGACACACCCACAGGGCCTCCTCCGATTGTAAATGACCTACAAGGCGCATTGTGTTAAGGTCCACGGGAAGGAATTGAGAACATAAAGGAGCGTGTTTCCTGGCTTTCTGGCACGAAGGAAGGAGCTAAGGCACGCTGTGGTGTTCTGTGAGTGAGCGGAGCGCAGGGGACGGAGGCCGTGTCAGGGGAGACACCAGGCACGGGAGGCTGGCTCCTCTGGCTGGTCGTCAGGCTTTCTTAGCTTCTGCCCTCATCTTAGCAGTGTTTCCCAAAGCGTGGAATGCGTACCCCCAGGGGTCCAGGAAGAGTCTGGTGGGGGTACGCGTTGCACCGGGGTTTGGTGGGGATATGCACTGCACCGTGCTTAGCTGCGCCTAATTCTATGTTTTCATGAGTACGAGGGGTACTCAGTGTTATGAAAATTATAGAAGGGGTATACATATGTCAAAAGTTTGGGAAACACTGTCTTAGCAGATGGATGGGAGGGATGATGGCTTGCAGAAAGGTGGTGGTGGAGACTGGCTAGATGGAGCTGGCCATGAGTTTCTCTTTTCTCTTCTCTTCTTTTTTCTCTTCTCTTCTCTTCTCTTCTCTTCTCTTCTCTTCTCTTCTCTTCTCTTCTCTTCTCTTCTCTCTTCTCTTCTCTTCTCTTCTCTTCTCTTCTCTTCTCTTCTCTTCTCTTTTTTCTCTTTTCTCTTTTCTCTTTTCTCTTTTCTCTTTTCCCTTCCTTTCCTTCCCTCCCTCCCTCCCTCCCTCCCTCCCTCCCTTCCTTCCTTCCTTCCTCTTTTTCTTTTAAAAATATATTTTATTGACTTTTTTTTACAGAGAGGAAGAGAGAGGAAGACAGAGTTAGAAACATGGATGAGAAAGAAACATCCATCAGCTGCCTCCTGCACACCCCCTCCTGGGGATGTGCTTGCAACCAAGGTACATGCCCTTGACCGGAATTGAACTTTGGGACCCTTGAGTCCGAAGGCCGACGCTCTATCCACTGAGCCAAACCGGTTAGGCCATCTTTCTTTTTCTTATGGCTGGGAATCCCTACAGGTCTCAGAAAGCTAGGGGTTAGTCAGAGAGCTGGGCGTTACAGGGAGCGGGGCAGTGGAGGGAAACTGGCTTAGGGGGACTCAGCAGGTGAGAATCGGGGCTGAGCTTTTTCTTCTGGCCCAGGACTCCCTCTCTGCTTTACGTGACCCACCTGCCCTCACAGGCTCGGCAGAGGACTCTGCTGGTCTTGGCTTTACAACCTTCCCAGTTTGATTCCTTTTGGCAGATGAGCGAGATGGAGACTTCAGGTGCCTGAGATCTGGCGGAATGCACGGAGTCCCAGAGAGCAGGCCGGCAGGAGGCGGGGCAGTCCGACACGTCTCTTACTTAGGAGGGTCTGTCCTGGTGCCCCCTGAAGGCCGCCCATGGGTGATCTAAGGCTAGATCTCCAGGGCGATGTTAAAAACCTGGGTCAGAAGAGAGGACACTGGTTACCTATTGAAAACCTGTTTAGAAGCTACTGGCATGACTGAGGATTCAGGCATGACCTGTGCTTGTTTCCTGGTGCTGGTTCAAACGATGCCACTTCACCAGGAAAGAAAGCACAAGAGAACTGCGTTGCCTGATTTCAGTGGGTCTGAGTTTCCTAATAACCCCCAGGGATATTCTTCGGGCCCGCTTGGATTGGCCGTCATGGATCACTAGGCACATTCAGTTAGCGCCCAGGTCAGCGGTCTCCACGCTGAGGGGCCTGAGGAGGCGTCCACACTGCGTCCCATGGTCCCATGGGCGTAGCTGCCGTCTCAGCAGCCGGCAGATGGCCGTCCAGGCTGTGCACCCGCGTTTGTGTGTGTGTGTTTGGGGAGGTGCTCCCTCCTGCTGGTAATGAGCCCGAGCCTAACGAAGAAAGCGTTGCATGTGATGGTTGGGGAAGCTGTGTGCAGCCCCTTCTGCTGCAGGAATGCGCCTGGCCAGAGGCCGGCCCTCTCGCTTGGGTGGAGGGAGGCGTCCTTCTCTTCCCCGGGGCCATTTCTAGCCTTTTGCCTCCTCTTTTTTAAGTTGAGGTTCTCACTGTTTGGTTCTCACCCTTCTGGTAACCGCACTTGCATTCTGTCTGTGGGTTGTTGGCTGCGAGGCCCAGGAGAGCAGTGCCCCACCCCACCCCACAGCCATCCTTAAGGTTTCTGGGCTCACCTATCGCCTGCTGGCTGTTTAGCTGAAGTTGTTGCTGGTAATCCAGCCCTTGGAGATAGAGAGGATGACAAGTCCTGGGGATTTGCTTTTAGCCGTGTGTGTGTGTGTGTGTGTGTGTGTGTGTGTGTGTGTGTGTGTGTTAAACAACCCAGAGCTTCTAAGCCACAGATTTAAGCTGGTTTTTATAGGCCTTGATGGTTGCAGTTTACAGGCCATGCTTTAATTGGCTTTAATTGGGAGGTCTGCAGACTGGGGGGGGGGGAGGCTTAAGTCATAATGAAAGTCAGTGCAGGAGGAAAGAACTTTCCCGCCCAAAAGGGAAATGACGCCGAGGAGCTGAGCAGCCAGAGCAAGGAATAATAATCGTAGAAAAATGCAGTTCCCTGGGGTAAAGGAAGCGCTGTGAGCCCAGTCCCTTCTGGGCTGTTCCATAGCTGTCGCCTGAACTGCTGTAACTTTGTGGGGCCAGCGTTGTCATTAGGCTGTAGCTGCTGGGGAAGCCAGGACACGGGGCAGTGAACACTGGAGCCGGGCAAGAGGCAGCCCCGCAGGGAAGGGAGCAGAAGGCAGAAAGGTTTTCCTATAGGAGTCCGCCACCTCCGTCCTGGCCAAGGCCGGGGGAGTTGGGGGTGGTGGTGGGGATTCCTGAGGAGCTTTGCTTTGATGGAGGGTTGTCCCAAATAGAAGGACGGGTGTGGGGAAAGGGACTCTCCATGCCTGTGTGTGTGTTTAAAAAGCCACATCCTTTTAACCTGGCAAAGACCCTTTTATTGCTTCCCTCGGCGGCGGTGTGGGTGCCACGGCTGGACTGCTATTTTCTGCCCACGAGCAGAATGGTGTGGGCAGCGGGAGAGTGCAAGGTGTTGGATGCCCAGCCGGGCAGTGACGCAGCCTGCCCTCCCGGTGATCCCCTGCGCCTTCCAGCAGCTCTGCCCAGCTGGCGGAAGACACCGCGCTTGGAGTTGACTAGTTCCAGAGTCGTTCCCGAAAGAAAGCAAGCAGAGGACAGATAGCAGTCAAGTTTTCACGAGTCCCTATTGTCTTCTTCAGCGGCTCCCCTCTGCCCCCAGGCCCCTTGGGTATACACGTTGGTTTGGGCTGTAATACAGGCCTCTCCCTTTGAAGAAGCCTAGGGAAGCGCCAGGGAAGGAGACTGGTGTTGCTCCCTCTTTGGACTTCATGCCTTGAGCACGTATCTGTGGTGGGCGCCTGCCCGTTCCTCGTCCCAGTCAGACTGAGCGCTGGCGAGGTTAGATCACACGGTAAGCGGAGGAGGCAGCGTTTGAATCGGTTTGACCAAGTGGATTTGCGGTTTTCAGGATGCCATGCAGCAGTTTTCCCGTCGGTAAAATGGGAGGGGTTGTTCTGATCGCTAAGATCCTCCCTTCTCTTTTCCAGTCCCTTGCTTGTGCCCCTTGTTAGAGAGTAGGGACTAAGATTGGGT